CCAGGTTCAATTTTTCATTAAGCTGCTTGAGTTTCTGGTTTGTTTATAAGCATCAGGTGCAATTTCTGTTTTCAGTAAACTAAAAAAGTGCTTATAACCACTTTCAACCCTTATTTGGATCTTCACACGTGGTATAAGTTATTATTTTTTGGACATGTTCATTTGACTAGTAGTCTCCATATGTCTCTTCTGATTATTTACTGGACATGGGTAATTGCTCAAGTTTTTTTACTGCCAGGACATATCCAACTAGCAGTTTATTTTGTAAATCACAGGGTAATTGCTCAAGTTTTTTACTTCTAGGACTTGTCCAACTAGCAATTTATTTTCTAAATCACTGCATAAGCTTCTAGTGCTTTAAGCAGCTTCCGTCGCAAAGCCAAATGTGTTTATGGACTGTTTGTAGGTATTAGTAGCTAATTGTCTATATTCAGGTAAATCATACAAAACGTGAGCTGCACAATGTCTTCATCAGGAAGCTTTACAGGTGACAGTCTTCTCTCTAGTTTGAGTTACTGTTTTGTATTATATGTTAATTTGATCCTTATTCGATTGTCTTTTGCAAAAATAGAGAGAACTTGTTCGAAGAGATGTTGCAGGAACCAGAGGAGGTAGCTTTGAAGAGAAAGCGGACACGAGAAACGCTCCGTGTTCTTCAACAGGCTTTCAGGGTGGGTTTGTTTTTTAAAGACTAACCAGTTTGGTTGTGTTGAAATGAACCTTCTCAGATTTTATTATAAATTCACAACAATTCAGGGTTTCTGTTCCTAAGTATTGTTACCTAAGCTGCATACTTCCATATCTAATTGCTTTATGTATGGGAGCCCCTCTGTCTGCGGCTGTGAAGTTCAATTTCTTACCTCAGGATAGAGAATCTGAAAAGAAAACAACTTTTAACTCATTCCACTGGAGTCTCTTATTTCTGATTCTTTCTGGAACACAGTGGACCAGCGATTTATGCAAACACAAGAATTATATCTGCACAAAGCATGTCATGGCATTGCTTAGTTTTGTTTCAAATTTCTTTCTCTTTGATTTTAAGTGCTAAATACACTATGAAGAATCGTTCTTACTATGATTTTTTTATAACAGACGCTGGATGAATTGCCACTGGAAGCTGAATCAGTTGAGAGGGGTTACAGCATGGCTGCTGATCCGACTGGGTTGCCAAAGATTCATGGATTGCCGACATCATCAATTTATTCAACAAGTAGTGGTTCTAGTGATTCATATGCAGCTTCTCCTAAAAACCTGAAGTCCCGAAAATCATCCCACTCAGGGGAACTACCATCACATTTATATAGTAATGCAGAATCTAATGGAAGTGGGCGTATGCCAAGCCTTTATCCCACCGTTGATCTGTAGGCCTTTTCATTCTTCTTACAGTGTCAAAGGCATTATATTCATTTGATTGCTGTTCCAAGTTCTCTGCCAATGCTAATGAAAGAATCTTCTTGGAAAGCTGGCGCATTAGGAAATTGGTATTCTTGTCTAACTAGTTAATGCAAGTTTATATTTATATGTTGCTTACAGCCGTATGCCCTTTTGGTTCTCTTATATAAGATATAGGGTTATAATTGCATTTTTTAGGAGGCTTCAAAAAGAAATAATAAGGGATTAAGTAACCCTCGATTTTTTGTTCCAAGCAACAGCTTTCCACATTTTTCTAGGCAAGTTTTTATATTTTGAGGTTTTGTAAGTCAAAGGCAGCAGAGCTGCAAATATTTGGTTGGTGTTGTTTCTTGTTACTTGGTTTCATATTGTATTATGAGATACCCATTTAGCAGAGGCCTGCATTTTTGTAAAGAAGCATTTAGAATTTCTAGTTTTTAGCAAGCAACTGGGTTGACTCTCTTTGCTTTACCGATTTACTTTTACTGTGAACATCATAGATCAGATCATCATCAGTCAACTGATCTATATTATACATCTGTTTCCATGGAGTAATGTGGTTATAGCAATTTCTGAGGGAAATGAAAAAATGCAGTTGAAGTTCCCGATGAATGATTCCCAATTGCATCACTTTGAAACCGGTCGATCTGGTCAGTCCGTCCTACTTTGGACACGTTGTTCTAACATCGATTTAATGTTAGTGGAAAATAAGTAAATGACATTTTATTTTTTAATTGAATAATTAATATTTTATTGTGAGGTAGATTCAAATTTAAAATTATTTATTTTTCGTCCTAACGTAATAAATAAAAAAAATTAAGAAAAAATTAAAGACAAGTGAATGAATAAATTAGAATTTAGCTCAATTTGACTTATGGTTCTCGATGAATATCATTGCACTCTAATATTGCAAAAGTTCCTCTTTACCATTTACAAATCGTTGAGTCCGAGTTAGTAATAAAATGCAGATGGTTCTTAAACTTCGCCAAATGAAGTTAGTAATAAATAATTATTTCAAATTTAACAATATAATGCTTAACAAATTATTTTTTTAATGGCCCTAAGGTGAATTGTGCTTATATATTTTATAAATAAAATTTCTTATTCTAGAAAGATATGTACTTTTTATATTTTTATTTAACATGATACCAAAACAAAAGCAAGTTAGTGTACAAATGAGCATATTTTTTTATTCTTTTTTTTTTCCTAGAACTGTTTGTTTAGAAGACTTCTAATGTATTATACATCTCCCGTCTTAGTTAAAGTAATTAGAATTTGCTGTGCACTTAAAAATCATCTACCATTACATTTTCAAAGTGGCAAAGAATAGGGCATTGTCAATATCGCAAATATATAAAGTTTTACAAAATATCAAATAAAAATTTATGCAGCAGTATAAACAGACAGGAGCCTTACATGGACTTGAACAGAGAAATTTATCACCTTTTTACCTTTAAGCATTTCTCAATTTTCTGTTGTCCATGAGTTTGGGCTAGTTAGAAAGTAGCCACTTCAAGCAAGAAATATACGCATATAATTTTGTACCTCTACTACTCAAATACTAATTTTTCAAATTAAAAGAAAATCAAATACTGATTTTTTAGAATTATTTGTTATCTTCTTGTCATATTCAAATTTTATTGACTTACGTAATTCTTGTAATGCTTTAAAAATTATGAAAAGGTATTAACCCGAATCTCCCACATGCAATACCTTAAAGAAAACTAGTAGCATTTGGTTTCTAGTTTTAATCCTTATATATTTTTATATGTTAGAAGATCACTTATTTTATTCAAATTATCACCTCACTATATTGAATTATTTAATAGTAAAAATTCAATTATTTCTTCAAACACAGAAGTTAGATCCTTACCATTAAAGAATACCTAATGAAATAATGATAAATTGAATACAAGAAAATAACAAACTATCTTATATTTTTTTTTTCAAAACAAAAAGAACTCTTCTAATAATGCATACTACGACTAACAATTAAAAAAATGAAACGAAAAATGAACTAACATCCGTCCATGAGAAGAAGAAACAAAATATTATTGACATCAGAAACTAACAGCGGTACACCAAGATATTAGGCAACTTGCATAGCAAGAATATTCTATGAACATAAAACATCTATGTTAGTAGAGACTCTAACTGCAACTGCACCATGGAGAAGCCATAAACAGCATATAAGGTTCACTACCACAGCCAAAAAACATGATCTCAAGTCCCGGCCATTCAGTTGCCACGGTGGAAACATCGATAACAACCTGTAAGTTTTTGTATTCATGAACTTGCAGAAGTAACCAACATTTAGAGCTTTTAAACCCAGCTGAAGCCTACAGTTAGTCTCCTATATGGTTGATTCCAGGTTGCTAAAAAACCACCACGTGCTCATCAAAACTTGCAGGGATCTCAAACTCTGAACCTGAAGTATTGGCTAGCTCATTTAGAGTTTCCTGCAATTCCTGAATACGAACAACAGAAAAAAGCTTTCTTTAACTTTTATTAAATTCAAACTCCGGCCATAACAGGAAACATAACCTTCCTTCACTATCCAAAGACATTGCCTAGAAGTACAATTCATTTTGATACCTGTCATATAGACTTTGAAAAATAAATACAGTAATTTGAGCTAGATACCCTCAGATAAAAGAGATAGGTAGATATATTATTGTTTCTATATAGAAAGAGATAGGTAGATATTTTATATGCTTACTGTGGTTATGTACAATGATAATGTATGGAGTCGCACTGGCTTTCAGAAATGTGCATCCAATAAACAAGAATAAATATCTCCAAATGCCTTGAAGATCCATTATGAAGGATTGGAAGAGATCACATAATGTGGTTATGTACAGTGACAAGACAGTTTTATTAAGATAATTCTCTTGCAAATATAAAATTTTGAGTTTGGAACAAATCCAAATTATCAATTTCATGTCAAAATGAATTCTATATTAAATTGAGCAACTGCATTTCAAAGCCCTACAACTGTAGGAAATAGACTTGAGAGATTGGAGAAAAAAAAAGCTCGGGATCTTCTTTTTTTTTTCTCTCTTCATAATGGTAGTAATATAGAATTCCATAAAAAATTAAAATTTATTTTGAACATAGGAATGAACTAATTGTTAAATTCATTTGCAAGTTAAATGATCTCTTTTTTTTGCTTGTTTGTTTAAAACAACCCTTCAGTTCAATTTACCCACTACATTATCTGGTTGTGGTAGGAAAAACAAATATCCATTAATTGAAATTTCCAATGATTTTGTTAGTATTTAATGCTTCATGTTTCTCTAACTATAATAATTTAAATGGTATATCGCAATACATATCCATTTATTTTATAATGTCACTGTAAAATTTGAGGTCACAGACATAGGTGCTGAAAGCAGTGCTAAAGTACTAAACCTAGAGATTTATGAAAGGCCTTCAAACAACATATTTACCACATGTAGAGCTTGCTCAAAATTAACGGACATATTAAGGTTCAAAGTTGTTTATACAAAATTACCTCTTCCTCAAGGTCAATGGATGGATTCTCCATTTCTATGGGCAAAGTATGAATAGCAGCTTCATCAATATCTAGCAAACCCTGTGCAAGAGATGTTTATTTGGCAATCAGCAAGTATAAAAGGCCATAGACTCTAAATCCAATTTGTTATACTTGCAGCATGGACATATCGAAACTATACTTCCCATGATTCCAGCTGTGATAACCACTTCTAAAATATTTGCTGGTTCTCTATCAAAGCAAAAGTAAGACTGATAGAGTGATGATGCCATGTTAAATTGCTTTATAAGGTTAGAGTTAAACAAGGTTTGCCTTGGCAAACCCAGTATCTGTCACTATACTTCCCCTGATTCCAGCTGTGATAACCACTTCTAAAATATTTGCTGGTTCTCTATCAAAGCAAAAGTAAGACTGATAGAGTGATAATGCCATGTTAAATTGCTTTACAAGGTTAGAGTTAAACAAAGGTTGCCTTGGCAAACCCAGTATCTGTCACAATAGATTAGGGTTTTTAACATATTGATTATGAGAATCGCAACTCCCTTCCTAATTCCCTCTTAGCTCTGGCTCTTGCCATCTCAGCCTTGCGTCTCTCTCCCCCTACATGTTGGCCGCCATGCTGCACTCTCCAGACTCCACTCTACTCTCCCCTCACTTGCTACTTGTTAGTCCTCTCACAGGATTGTCTCTTTTGTTGCCTGACGACTAGTGTTTGCACTCTGCTCTCTGTAAGCCTGTGGCTGCTCCACTCCTGATCTTTGAGGTGACTGGTTAGCTCCTTTCTCTTATTTTGCTGCCATTGTTCTGTCGCATTCATATGGATATACATTTAGTGTTTGTATTTGTGTCACTGTGTATTTTTTGTTTTCTGCACAATAAAATTTTCTTACCACTGTAATTCGTTCTCTATTTTGCATTAGCTGTTAGTGTTTATTCTGTTGTTTATATGGGAGTGTAATTTCTTTCACACCAGATGTGAATATGCAATTAGGTAACCTATACAATTGAGGTTGCATCTATGACGTTTCTAAATGGGTTTTTAATTTTGGTGTTTGGTATAAAACTGAAGCGGCCAAACTTCTTCTCAATTCAGTTTTATAAACTAATCAGTTCAGTTTGGTCAGTTTCCATGGTGAGCTTTGTTTTTCTGATTTTCGAAATCAAACCAAACGAAACAACTCAACACTATCCTACTAATAATCCTTATTGAAGCATCTTTGCGACCCTTAACTCTATCTCATCTTCTTTTATAAGTGGTTGTTGAACGTTAAGGTGATAGTCCAGTTAGAATTCAAATGATGGTTTCGTAGCCCGATAACAATTGGTGCAGGTCCCTTGTTTATGCCTTTATCTACTTCGCTTCTCTTTTTTAGTGGAGACCTTTTTTAGGATGTGTTATCTTCAATTTTTAAATAACTTCTCTTCTATATTAGTTTTTTTAAGATAAAAAGTATAAAAAAATTATTCAATCAATAGCACCAAGGGAATGCAATCCATATACAAAATATATTTATATCTCAGTAAGACTATCTATAACATGCCCAAAATCTTCTACCCTACATGCCATGCCCTAAAAATAGAGTGTCAAAATAATGCAACCATCTATCTCTAATTTTCAAAATATCACTCTCTACCTCATCAAAAAGCTTTTCAATTCCTCTCCTTCTAGATAATCCAAAAGATTGTCAAAGGAATCAACTTTACGCATTTTTTCTTTTTAAACACACTCTCCCAAGCCCAAATCTCTCCTTCCACTGAAATTTCTCTTCTATATTAGTAACACTTCTTTTTCTGTCAAAAAAAGGCAAAGGTTTTGAAACTTCACATGGTTTAGGAAAGGATGATTTCACCTTTGGCTAATTCTGACGATATTTTAAGGGATGCCTTTACCTACCTTGCCTAAAGATTAGATATCTATTTTCTTAAGGCTTTATACTTTTTTTTTGTATTTCTCCATTTCCTTTGCTTGGAATCTCTTTATCTTCAATAAAATTATTTTATTAAAATATAAAATATTACCTATTTCTTAATAATTTAAACTAAAAAAAGTAGAACATCATAAAGTTTATTCCATAGCACCTTTATGCTTATATTTCATCTCAAAGAAGGTTTTCCTTCAAAATTGCAGGCAACAACAAATTGTAAAAATATATTATTGCTTATCAAATGGCAGTTGTTAACTGAATAAAATTTATATCACCAAAAAGAGACGTGTTTTCTCCGGTCACAAAAAGTAGATATACCGGTATTTGAGGCCCAACAGAGTTCTTCTTAGAGGCTAGAGCAACAGGTTTAGTCTCCTCTGGGCTTCCCTAATGAGCAACAATACAAATTACATCAAAATAAAAATCAATGACCATCTCATGGCTTAAGCTGCTTTTGTAAATAAAGTTTTTGAAAAATCTTGCAGGCAACAGGAAGCATTACCAAAAATCAACATACAAGTGAATAGAAGCATTCCAAGATCTACTACTATTAGAAAAGTTAACATTGACAAAAATTAATCTTTCAAGCATGCATATATAACATATCTTTTTACTTATCCGACTTAATGCTACCTGCTCTTTTCTGTCAGTACAAAAGCTTTCCGTTAATATTGCCAAAGGTTTTAAGTCAGTAGGTGTTTCCTGGAACATGAGCACATGAGATGGTCACCATAAAGGAAAATGTTACTAAAAAAGGGGGCATATTATCTCATAAAAGAGAACCATTAAGAGAGCTTTTTTTTTTAAATAAAAGTAAAACAGTATTATTAACAAAGTACCAAGTAGGTACACCCACGTACAAGTGATTACAAATCAATCAAAATATCAAAAACAGCTCCAAAATCCTCGAGCTCTCTAATATTATGACCCAAAGGTATAGAACCAAAAGAGAAGATTCAAGTATCTCTAATAGAGTAAACTCTTTCTCAATACTCTCAAAAGCTTTCAAGTTTATTTCCTTTCAAACCACCCAAAAGATAGAAAGTGGAATTAACCGTAACAATTT